CAAGTTCCAACAAATGGCACATAAAACACATTTATTGCATCCTTTGCCCTCATCTAGAAACCAGTCACAAGGTAACTGGACAGTCCATACCTTGAGATATTGTAAAATGGACTTCAAAATACCATTGCCATCAACAGTCATTGACATTCCACCAGAATCAACCATTTTTCTCTTTGACCAGCACTAAGGTGTTATTCCCAAAATAAACAAGAGATGGCAGCACAGAACCAAGCTTGGAGAGCTTTTTTGTTTTGCTTTGTTTTGTTTTTTTACATTGACTATATTCTACTGTGGAGCAAGTTTCAAAAAAATATCAAAAATATTTCAAAGGATTGAAATTATATAAAGTATGTTTCTTGCTCTCATTGCAGCTTATCGAGCAATCAGTAATAAAAGATAACTAGAAAGTCTTTATATTTAAAAATTATGAAATACACTTCTAAATAACCCACAAATTAAGTTACAATTGCACTTAAAACATAATTTAAACGGAATGATAATAAAAACTGTACATAAAAATACTCTGGGAAAAAGTACTGATAAATACACACATTAGGGAGAAAGCCTGAAAATTCACAAATTTTGCATCATATTACAAACCTGGAATAATAAATGAAATCCAGAGAAAGTGGAAGAATGGAAATATGCAACTAGTGATATCTGGAAGGGTATATATATATTTTTATTAAATGATTTTTATTGTTATTCTATTACAGTTTCCCAATTTTTCCCCTTTGTTCTCCTCTGCCCGTCCCACCCCACACACCCCCACCTTGTTTAGAAGCATATACACTTAATATAATCACAGCTACTACCTATTTGTGTAGGATTTTCCATTATATTTATTTTTCTATATAATTTAAGTAAGCAGCACGAACAACAACAACAAAAAAGGCTGTCTCAGGGCTTAAAAACTACAATGGGAAAACAATGGCATAATTTTAAAATAATATTAATAGTCTAGTCTGTTGTGGTGACAACACCAGAGGCCTTTCTTTGCTCGCCCAGCCTTTTCCAATTTTCACTTCTTCATATGCAAATACAACCCAGCAAAGAGGAAATGAAGGTCTAGACCAGAAGTCATGTAGATGAGCAGAGAAGCCCTAAGCAGCTCAGCAGGAGAGGGAGTTTGCCCCAGGGCTGCCCCAGTTCAGGGCCTCCTCACAGCCCTGATGCTACATAACTAAGAAGCAGCAGTACTGAGTTTGATACACAGCGTGCTGCTTCATAATTCACCTGTGACAATACTGAGCTTCTTAACAACCATTCTGTACTCATGGCCATTCTATATTAAAATTGAGATATTTGCACTAAAGTGTTCTTCACCACACCCCAACCTTGGAATACCTCTTCACATTGACTTGGAGCCAACGACTATACATTTATAGACATGTACAGGGACCCCACACACAAACCCAGAGACCCCAAAGCCACACCCAAAGAGACCCCAGATCTGAGACCCATAGCCAAATAGATTCAAACCAAGGCCACAGACCTCAGAGACAGGACCCAGATCCATAACCAAGACTCCACAGCCAGACTCCAGAGTGGAAGCTGGACAATGAACCCTAGTTGCCAGATGCCAGACACAGAAGCTGAACCACACTAGTCAGGGTTTGCAATATTCTTAATTGCGTTTCTGTAAATGACCTTGGATCCAGTACTTAAATATAAAATTGATTGTTTTCATAATAAATTATTTGCATCTCTCAAACAAACAGTAACTGTGTGACAGTTTATTTTGCACTGTGGAAATGTTCCTGCTGGAATAGACTTTTGGGTGCAAATGGACACTCTGGGTGGTTAAGGTGCTATTCAGATAAAGAAGGCAGCACCGGGCACTGGATGTAATGAAGATGTGCAGCATTTTTGTTGAGTCATTTTTAAATGCATACATATATAACCAACTACTGATCTTATTCATTCTTTTATCTACAAAAAATATGCATAGATAGGTTTCTTTTAAGTAAAAGAGAAAAGAACTGACACAACATTGACACAATGTTCCAAATGACATGAAGGAAAAGCAAGTTTTCCCCTGCACATTGCCCAGACCCTGATCCCTGTGGATACTACTAGTCCCTGTGTCTCCTTTCAGCACATGTCTTCTGCCTGGGTTGTTTTTTTTTTTTAACACAATTTGTTTTGCAGGTCACTTTTCTCACATGACAACATTTCTTAGAAACTATTCTCTGTTATATTCCACTAGAACCACACCGAGGTTTTATTTCTTGAATGAAATACCATGTATCCTCACCCATTTTCAACATTCTACAATATTTCACAGTGTGATCAAACCATAATTTAACAAATTCTCTTCTACTGAAAACTTTAAAATTATGTTATTATATAAGTGTTGGATACAATATTTTAAACATATTTCATTTCATACACAGGGAAGCATAACTAGGGGGATTTTTATGCTTTTTAAAAATTTTCATTTATTAATTTGAAAGAAAGAGAGAGAAAGTGTTGTTCCACTTATGCATTCATCCATTGATTGCTTCTTGTATGTGCCCTGACTGGAGAATGAACTGACCACCTTGGCATATAGGCAGGACACGCTACCCAACTGAACTACCAGGCCAGGGCTACTAGAAAAAAATTTTGAAAAGTGGAATTTCTTGGTCAGAGGGTATGAGGATATTATTTCTGAATAGCTATTCTCAAAATGATCCAGAGAGTCTGCACCAAAGGACCTTCCCCCGAGTCTTTCAGAGCAAGGACACTGCACCTGCTTACTCATCAGCCTCAGAGATCTCAGAAGTCCTCTGGGTCCCCACAGGAGCCACCAAATTATGTTCACCTTAAAAATATAGCAGGCAGTTATTTTACCAGCAGGTAAGGGGTTTATTCAGATATAGTAACAAAAAATAAAATTTAGGACAAGCAAGCTTTAGCAAAGGATAGGTAAGCTCCACAAGTAAAGGAGAGGAACGTTATTTTACAGGGAGAAAGGAGGAAGTTGGCAGAGGTCATTTCAAATGAAAGTGCAGTGCAGAAAATCCTCAGTTCAGGGTGACGATGGCTTCTATCTGGCAGAGTTGCTGGGGAGTCGCTTTCTCCTGGAAGCACACAGTACATATTCATATTGGGGCCTGAGACAATTTTTCCTGTAATTGACTCTGGGTGGTGCTATGTGGCACACCCCCACTGACCCCCAACTCCTCTTTAGTGAGGTTTCCCTTTATGCAGTTTCACAGTAATAATTACATTTAGTTGGCGCAGTTCCAGTCCATGGAAATCAAGTTATATTTACGTGTTCAAAACGAGGTAGGGGCCAGAAACACTCTTCCCACTTTCTCCCGTGAAAGCCTGTAGCAGCTAAACAAACCCCGCTCTGTGGACACCTGCCCCCAAATTTGACGTGTTATTTGTATGCAAAATACTTGAATGTTTTTCCAATACTTCTAAATTTATTTAGTGTTGTTTGGTTTTATCTTGCCTCCCTATTTCTGAAACGTTTTCGCACCTGAGTTACTTAAACATACCTATTACTCATAAAGTCACTTACTCGAGAGGTGAAATTCTCAGTGTTTTCCAGTATGCTTATTATGTCATTCGCTGTGTTTAAATATTTGAGCCCTCTGAGACTTATTTTGTGTGTATGACTTGCGTGGTCAGAATTTACTGACTTAAGTTTCCACGGAATGCAGTGTAGTCTTGACCACATCCTCACTGGCTATGCAGCTTTTGCTGAAAGTAGCTTTGGTAAGAGAGGGCACAGATGGGCCTAGAGGAAAGTTGGGGATCCCGACTACAGTCTGGTGGAACAAAGACACTTTGTCAGGCGGCAGGAGGGCCACGTCCACCCTAAAAACCGGCCCGGGCTCGGAGCTCCCAGCCCCTGCAGAGCGGGTCCCTCACCAGCCTCTGGAAAACTAGCCATAGAAAACTGCAAGTCCCGCTGCAGGCTGAGTGACAGACGCTCGGGAGACCCAGAGCAGCCAATCCCCGAGGGGTGGGGCGGGACTTCCGCCGAAACCAAGGGGCTCCGCCTCCTGCCCCGCCCTTTCAGCTTCTTCTGACCGCTCATTGGTGGGCAGGGCCCCGGGATCGCAGCACTGATTGGCGGGTTGCTCCCACAGGCTACCCTGGTAAGAATCTCGCCCCAGGCGCCCGCACTCTTTCCGAAGGCCGGAAGCCCAGGAGCTCGGAGAGGACGCTGGTCCCTGGTGGGCGGTGCAGCAGAGGCCCCGGGAGACTGACGGGTAAGCGGGGAGCCCTGCCACGTGGCGCCCTTAGCCCGAGACCTTCAAAGTCAGACGCCCTCACCCTGAGGGGCCCAAACCCCCTCAGCATCGAGGGGCCCGCGTCCGCCAACCCGGAGGACCCACATCTCCTGACCCCCAACGCCTGGACCCCCAAACAGCCCGAAAACCCCAGTTCCCCTCGGCTCGGGGCCCCCAACCTGCAGCTCGCCCGGAAAGACCGAATCTCCCCAAACTCAGAGACCCCGAATGCCGTCGTCCTGGAAACCGACTCAGTGGTGGGGACCCTGAAGCCCCTCGATGAGACGCCCCAAATCTCCTCAGCCGCAGGGTCTGACCCTCCCCCCAGGCCTCAGTGTCCTCAGACGGGAAGACGCAGGATCGGGTCTCAGGGACCCCAAGCCTGTCAGCCTGAGAGACGGCGGTCTGCCAGGGACCGCGCCTGCGTCTCGTGCGGGCCTCTCCCGGCCCCCGGGTGCACCTCCGAGCCCTTCCTCGGGAAAAGCGCGTTTCCTGGCGCCGCCACAGGCCCCCGGGCCTGTTGAGCCAGAGCGGTGGCGGCGCATGGAGGGAAGGGCGGGAACAAAGGCCCCGCCGCCAGTCCAGGCCCGCGGTCCCCACTCTGGGCGCCCTGCCGACGGGGAAAGAGGCGGCACCCGGACGTGAAGAGGAACTTCCACGTGCTCACCAGCCTCGGTAGCGCGCAGGCGCTGGGCCCAGGGGCTTGGGGAACCCGCCAGGCTGCTGGGCTGGCTCCGGCTCAGGCGGCTCCATCCGCCTGCAGCTCCCTCCTGCGTGGACACCCATCAGGGGGAATTTGCTCCTTCGGTCACAGCAGGGCTGGCGCTGATGGTGCAGCGCTCACAGCAACTCGTTTTACTCTCCCATCCCAACCGAGCCAGTCCCACGGGCTTCCTGGTGCTTTTTGCTCCTCCAGGCTCTTTGCTTTCAGGACAAAGGTTTTGTCTCTTTCCAGGTCTCAAAGCCCTGCGACCAGCTTTCCTGTGTCACCACCCCAGGCAGGCCACCAAGCTCCAGGAGGAGGACCCTGAGGACTCTGATGAAGAATGGGCTCCAAGGCAGCAAGGTGAGGGGCAGGAGGAGCCTGAGCTGCCCTCCTGACACGAACCTGGTTTAGGTCAGGCTGCATCTCAGGACATAACCAGGCAGCAGGGTTTGCTTGTCCTGCGAACACGCAGGATGCAGAACAGTGTGTGGTACAGTGAGGGGATATTCCTATAAACTTTCAAGTGTGCAAAATATTTCAGTGTGTCTTATATATTTATAGACACATTAATAACCAGTAAATGTATAGGAATATACAAGTGAATAAGAAATAACTAATTACGAAGAGTTGTCATCACAAGAGAGAGAGGCAGGTCTGGACGGTGAGGAGTGTCCCCATACGGGGCTGCCACATGGCCTGCATGGAGACAGACAGGGAACAGTATTAACATGGTGATTATGGAGCTGCGGGGAGGGCCAGGGTAGGAAGTGCCAGATCACTGTATCATTTCCTGATATCAGCTATAGTGCCATTCTGTCCTATATCATGAGTGTTTGATTGATGGGGTCAGTCCACTTTCATGGGTGTCGGGTTGAAACACAGCTGAAGTCAAGACGTGATCTTTAACTTGACTGGAATTCTGTTTCTGTGATCAGCACACTGTGGATGCCAAGCAGAGTCTAATGATAAGGAAGGGCATGGATGGCCAGTATGTGCACAGGGGGGAGGATACCACAGAAAGGAGGCGAGGGGTTGGTAGGGCCGTTAGCCTGGACAAGGCCAGTTTGAATGAAGACAACAGAGCAGAGAAAGGGTTATGTTGAAGATATGGTTGGAGTTTCTGTGCAGTTACTTTTATTATGTTTTTGTCAGGAGAGGCCAATTTATTTCTTAATAAATGTAATAGATGCTTTATGAACATAGGAGAAAGTGTAGAAGAGACTTTGTCTATTTTTTTTATCATTCTAACAAAATTAGTGGATGGCCCCAATAGAAGCATAGGCCTTAATGATACCTCAGAAAACATTTTCCAACCATCCTTGGATTGTTCTTGCACTACTCTTATTTACAATTCTGTGTCCCTAAAAAGAATCTCCAGATTTTAGAAACAGTTACCAACCAAAACACTGATTTCTCATCATCTTTCATTGAAACCTCCTGAAACATGGCCTTTAGAAGGGAACAGAGTAGACACCAGAAGGTGAGTGTTTCCCAAACCCTGTTGACAAGAAAATTTTCCTCATGGATAGAAATGCAGGTAAGAGTAGGAAAATGCAGAGAGTATCCTAGGAACTGCTGCCTTCCTTTCCTGGTCTTCTCAACGCATTGTCAACATTATAATCTTTTTAAAAACATTTTATATGGATTTTTTTAGAGAGAGGGGAGAGGGAGAAAGTAAGGGAGACAAGCATGTGCAAGACACACCTGTATAGGTTGCCTCTCACACTCCCCCAAGTGGGACACCTGGTCCCCAGCCCAGGCATGTGCCCTGACTGGGAATGGAACTGGTGACCTTTCACTCAGCAGGCCAGCGCTCAATCCACTGAGTCACACCAGCCAGGGCTCATCATCATCTTAATAGTTAACAACTACAGCAACAATAGTAACTACCATTTGTTTCATTCTCACAATATTTCAGACTTTAAGAATTCTATGTGAATAAACTCACTTAAACATTACAACAACCCGACGAGGTATGTACTATAACTCACCATTCATGATGAGGAAAGTCAGCTTTTAGAGATACAGAAATGTTTGACTATATGTCTATGATCACAGTATCAGTGGTAGTGCAATCTAATCCATAGTTGCTTCTCTAAATTACTTATGAACTCATTGAAACGTTCATAGTTTTACCCTAGCCAGCATGACTCACTTGGGTGTCATCCTGCAAAGCGAAAGAGCCCCAGTGTAATTCCTGGTCACTGGCTCATACCTGGCTTGTGGGACAGGTTCCCAGTTGGGGTACTTGGGAGAGGCAAGTGACCAATGTTTCTCACATCAATGTTTCTCTCCCTCTCTTTCTCCCTCCCTTTCTGTCTCCCAAGAATATAAACAAAATCTTTTTTAAAAATTAGAAAAATACACTTTCATAGTTTTCTAAAGTTTACATTGTCTTATCCATATCTCATTACATCATTCATCTGACTGATGATTTCAACCAGAGTTCTTTGCTATGCTGAAATGAGAAATGCACTAAGACCCTCTAAGGAAAGCGTACAATGTGTAGGCAGTTTGTACAGTGGATGCTCCCAGATGAAGAAGAATGTAAAGTGTCCAGGATCACAGCCTCCCACTCTAATAAAGAGTATCTCCCACCCCTGAGGAGCTTCAGGTTTCATGATTGAGGAATAACAAATAATAAAATGACTTAAGGATTTCATATAGGTTACACACTATTCAACAGAAACTAATCCGTCTGGAACTGATTTCAAATCCCCTTACAGGGTGAAGTAACAGCTTTGTCTGAGTTCTCATGAGGCCACTCTCATCCTGTTTAGAATCATTTGTTCAGCCTGCCTACTCTGTGTTGTGAGCTCTTTGAGGGCCTGGTCCATACCTGAGACTTCTCAGAGGTCACAGGCCCAGATCAGGGTCCCTGGGGGTCCCCGAATGTTTGCTGAATGAATTATTTCACAATTAGAAAATAAATTAGAAGATGATCAATGAACACGGAAGGTTATTTCTGTGGGATTGAAATATGGAGAGACATGAGGGGTAAATTGATAGCACATTCATGCTGTATTACATAATTCACAGAACACTTTGTTGAACATTATTTAAGTACACATCCACTATAACATTAAAAATGAGCATGTTATAGGTGTGGACACTGAAGACAACTAGCTACTGCTACAGCCTTATTCAAACAATTGGTGGGAACCAGCTCATCTAAGTACAAATATTCTTTCCAAGGTATTGCAAACATTTATCATTTTAGCTATTGTCTAGACATGTTTCTGCCAACTATTTATTTATTCTCTTTCTAATATCCTTCACTCTCAATTTTATAGACAGTTGAAAGAAAAGCCATAAGGCATGGGTTCTAATCTTAGATTCATTACCCACATTGGCCCTATACCCTCTAATATTCATACTCCTGAGGTATTTCCAAGGATTCAAGTATTAAAAACATGCATGTAAATTATATGATAGGCCATAAAACATTAAATACGTTTTGTCTTTTAATATATGATTCTTATATTGAAGGCAACATCCAGGGTGCCATTAAGCAATGAATACAGTTTGAAAGAATTGTCAGGAACAGCAAATTTCATGACTGCAAGTGACTCAGAGCAGGCCCAGAAACCAGTGTCCCCTCCTGGAGAAACACGTGCCTTTGGAAAGCACACTAGACAAAAATCGGGTAAGAAAATAATTTGGAAACTTTAGTTCCTCTAAGTCCTACAGAGGGGCTGATAAGTATGACCTAGGTATGTGGGGCAGACTTTGGTAGGCCTGGATTTAAGCTGGGCTAAGCTGAGACTGAAGTTATCACTGGACCTTTGGGCAAATCCTATAAATTCTCTGAGCTCCTGCATGCTAATGTGTAAAGTGAAGATAAGGAAACATCACTCATATATTGTTTGAAAACATTAAATTGAGTTTAAAACAGGTGACACATGCAAGTTGTCCAAAAAATCCATGTGTGATAATAGCAACCACACTTTCTTGGTGTTGTGTGCCTAGGCCTTTACTCAATGCCTAACACATAATGTACACACAAACATTTTATGAATGATTAAAGGTTGGCAAGTTAAACCTAGTAATGGGAAGATCTAGAAACTAACATTGAATCACTCATCTGTAGTTACCGTGGTGTCTTAGTTTTCTGAACCAATAGTTAACAGTAAAATACCAGAGTGTGCAAAAGGACAGGTAATAAATTGATGGAAGGAGATTGTGTGTTAATCTGATAAAATGGGAACTAACACTATAGGCCCCACCAACCTCGCTCACCTGCTCTTCTCCAACTCAGACCTCAGGAGAAAGGAGATGGACGTGAAGATGTACAGCCTACAAGAAAGAAAGGACTGTGTGTACCAAGAGGTCACCGAGCCCCAGGATGATGACTACCTTTGTAAGTGACCCTCACTAAGAAGCAAGTTATGATACAATAATTTCATCTAGTCCTTCAATCCAGTGACCTGGAATACAGGATTGAGTCTCACTGATGTTAGTGCTGGACTCCCTCTGAAGCTCTTTGTGTCCAGGAACATGTGCTATACGTTCCCCAACCCCTGCATTGCTCTCCTCCAGATTGTGAGAACTGTCAGAACTTCTTCATCGACAGCTGTGCTGTGCATGGGCCCCCTGCATTTGTAAAGGACAGTGCAGTGGACAAGGGGCATCCCCACCGCTCAGCCCTCACCCTCCCCCCTGGGCTGAGAATCGGGCCATCCTGCATCCCTGAGGCTGGGCTTGGAGTGTGGAATGAGGCAGCTGATTTGCCAGTGGGTCTGCACTTTGGCCCTTATGAAGGACACATCACAGAAGATGAAGAGGCAGCCAAGAGCAGATACTCCTGGCTGGTGAGAACTATTTACCTCTTCCACTGTCCTCTGACTTCCCACATTCCTTCTGAGGCTTGGAGGGACCTCACCTCCTACATGCTAGACATGGAGGAGACTTGGTTAGATCTGTGTACTGACTGGACTTCACATGAACACAGAGCTCCTGTTTAAGGATCAGAAAGTAAGTGGGAGCAAAGTGGTGCAGACACAAAGGAGTGGCTCCTCCCTTGTGGGGCTCCTGCTCTGATTGGACAGGTAGACTCGGCTGTGTAGGTGATGAGTAAGAAAAATATCATGTGGTCACAGCTGGCACTTGAATCCCCATGCAGGATGAATGAGCTTTGATGACTGTGGAGTAAAATAATTCTGACTATTACCTTCCCACCAAAAAAATAAAAGGTCTTTACCTTCTTTTGTAAAACATAGATCACCAAAGGGAGAAACTGCTATGAGTATGTGGATGGAAAGGACAGATCCTGGGCCAACTGGATGAGGTGAGGTCAACAGGTCTCTGGGTGTCAGAGGGGACACTCATCCCCCATGAGCCCCTATATCCGTCCCTCTCATCATGCCTCCCTCAGTGGTTTCCCTCCATTCTTTATTCCCTCTTTTTTTCCACGCAGTGTTCTTTCATTTTAGGGGACTTTTAGGAAGAAAGTATAGCATATGTCCTCAAAATATAAAGCTCTCTACTAGACACAACTTTGGCTCTGGAAAGGTCCTTGAAGAGCCTAGATTCACCAGGAACACTGGATTACACTTTAATTTATCAAATGAACATTAATTAAGCACTTAGTATATTCCAGTTTAGGTGAAGGAATACATTACTTAAACAGATCACACAACCCATGTAGACAAAAAGACCTCCAATTTTCTATGGTAATCTTGAGCAGTCAAGTGAATGGTGCCCTAAATAAAGTGTAGGAGGGTTAGGGAAAGGCCTCTCAAGAGAAAACAGATGTGGGTTGAGTACTGGATAATTAATGAGCTAATTCAGAAGCAGAGCCCTAGATCAAGCACCAGGTTCTGTGGTGTGAGACAACTTGATTTAGAGTTTGGAGAATCCAGTATCACTGGATATTATGGCCAGTCATGGTGGAGGTTAAGTCTAGAACTGGGTTCTAGAAAATGGTAATAGGCAGGATGAACACTGCAAGCAGGACTTGGACGTAAGAATTCACATGACATGCTGGCAGACGCTCAGACACTGAACAAAGATTCCCCGGAAGCATTAGGGGCCGTGGGCAACACCAGAGCCTGAGGGCCTTCAGAATCAGTGAGGGGCTGGACATGGATGTAACATGTAGCATCACTGTGCATTTCTTTCCCTTCATCTGCCTCAATCCCAGGTTTGTGAACTGTGCCCGGGATGATGAAGAGCAGAACCTGGTGGCCTTTCAGTACCACAGGCAGATTTTCTACCGAACCTGCCGTGTCATTAGGCCGGGCCATGAGCTGCTGGTCTGGTGCGGGGACGAGTATGGCCAGGAGCTGGGCAGCAAGTGGGGCGGCAAGTGGAAAAGAGAGCCCGTGGCCGGAAGAGGTGGGCACCACTGTTCTTCAAAACAGAAAGAAAAGAGAGAATTCTCCATAGAAACATTTATGATGCAACTCTTAAGTACAGTAAAATCTAAAGTCAGTAAAGTTTCAAATCACATGCTTCCGAAATTCATATGCCTTTGACTCTTAAGGAAAATTTTTATAATTTTTATTTTTTTAATATTTCGTACACAAAATACACAACCGCATGTAGTGCTGAAAGACTGAGAGGCAAAAAAGAAAAGTTTACAAGCACTAACCAGTTCTCTCACCAAGGCAGTTTTTCTGACACTTTTATAGTTGTTTCTTCTTAATTTCCCTCCATACTTCTAAATAAAACATTTTTGTTTGGAGGCATTCATTATTTTTTAAAGATTTTGTCCTGGCTGGTGTGGCTCGGAGGATGGAGCACCGGCCTGTGAACTAAAGGGTCACCAGTTTGATTCCCAGTTGGGGCATATTCCTGGGCTTTGGGCCAGGTCCCCAGTACGGGGCATGTGAGAGGCAACCACACATTGATGTTTCTCTCCTTCTCCCTCCCTCCCTCACTTCCCCCTTTTCTGAAAATAAATAAATATATAAATAAAACTTTTCAAACAAGATTTATTTTTACAGAGTGGAAAGGAGAGAGAAGGAAAAATCAATATGTAAGAGAAACATTAACCAGTTGTCTATGGCACACCCCCAACTGGCCCCCAACCCTGCATGTGCCCTAAGACTGGATCGAACTTGTAACCTTTCAGTTTTCACACAACACCCAACCCACCAGGCCACACCAATCAGGCAGGGCGCATTCATTCATCATTTCAGTGAATTATGATACTCTGTGGTGCACAGCGTCCTGGGACCTGGAAATACAGGTTAATGTGAGGATCAGAATCACTGCTCTTGAGCAGCTGACAGGTGAAGGAGGGAAACCCAGGCACACATGCTTGCGTGTGCATAACACCACACAGCGGTTAGTGCTTTGGAGAAAACTAGTCTAGGACAGGTGCCTGGGGATCAGTGTGAGGGGGAGGCGTGTGGCAGGTGGTCCGGGAAGGGCTCTCTCAGGAGACAGCATTTACAAAAATACCTGTGGGCAGAGGGAGCAGCTAGTCCAGGGAAGGAAAGAGGTGGGGCGTTGAATTGGCTGAGGGTCACTCAGGTCTCGCCTCGGCACAGAGGGTAAAAACAAAGATCAGACGGATGCTTAGCAGCCCAGAGATGCAGTGCCGATGACCCGAGTTGAGACACTGGGGACTTTCCTGAGTGAAAGTGTGCAGTTGTCAGCTATGGAGTGGTGTGTTCTCTATTCTGATTATGTTTTGTTGATTTTTAGAAAATAAACACCAGTGGGGGATTACTTCATCTCCAAGTAAGAGAGCATGGTGGATTGGCCAGAGAGGAACAGGAGTCAGGCGTGTAAGAAATGTGGTTGAAATATTTTGAAACAGGTCTTCTTAGTGTATTTGAAATAGTCTAGCACTAAATGAGATAAAGCATAAATATTTGGTGTGAAGCTTGAGGAAGGATATTTTATTTCACTATTTTGGGAAACAGAGAGAAGCGATTCCTAGTTGGGACCTGTGGTTTTCCTCTTTAACGAGACTTAGAAGGTACCTGTAGATGAGAAACGGCACTGCAGTTTGATCCACAAAGGGAGTAAATTGTCCTCATGCTCCAAAAGTCCCTAGTCTGGGCAATATTAGAAAAGACCCTTGATGTGGGCTTTCTTGATTTCTGAAGAAGATGCACTGCATAAAAGTAAACAGGAAAATAGACGGCGAGTGGACACTGGGAGACAGAGGTTGCGTTATCACCACAGTAAGAAGGACTCACGGGGCAGGTCTTACCAGGAGACTAATCATACAGCCCAGGCATTGTCCTCAACATCTGCCCTGACCAAACCTTTCTCTTTCAGCAGAACCAAAGCCAGAGGTGCACCCATGTCCCTCCTGCTCTCTGGCCTTCTCCAGTCAGAACTTCCTCAGCCGACACGTGAAACTCAATCATCCCTCTCAGATTCTCCAGGGAACATCTGCAAGAAAACAGCTCCAAGCAGAGGAACCCTGTCCAGAGGATCAGAATCAGCAGCAGCAACATACTAGTATGCACAGCTGGAATGATAAAGCTGAAGGTCAAGAGGTCAAAGAAAGGTCCAAACATTTGCTTACAAGGATCAGTCAAAGGAGAATCTCAAAACCCTTTTTCCAACCATCCAAAGAACAAATGAGCTCTAGTGAGCACGAGAGACTGATGGAAGAAGAGCCCCGGAGAGGCCAGAAAGAGAACCCAGAGGACACAGGCAAGTTCTTTGTGAAAGGAGGAATGTCAAAGATTGTAACAATCGAGCATGGAGGGTGTTGGCAAGGCATTGATGATGGATCACATCTCATCACACATCAGGTGACACAGTCTGGGGAGAAGCCCTATGTTTGCAGGGAGTGTGGACGAGGCTTTACATGCAAGTCACATCTCACCAGACACCACAGGACACACTCTGGGGAGAAGCCCTATGTTTGCAGGGAGTGCAGGCGAGGCTTTACACGCAAGTCACATCTCATCACACACCAGAGGACACACTCTGGGGAGAAGCCCTATGTTTGCAGGGAGTGCAGGAGAGGCTTTACATGCAAGAGAAGTCTCATCACACACCAGAGGACACACTCTGGGGAGAAGCCCTATGTTTGCAGGGAGTGCAGGCGAGGCTTTACATGCAAGACAAGTCTCATCACACACCAGAGGACACACTCTGGGGAGAAGCCCTATGTTTGCAGGGAGTGCAGGCGAGGCTTTACATGCAAGAAAAGTCTCATCACACACCAGAGGACACACTCTGGGGAGAAGCCCTATGTCTGCACGGAGTGCGGGCGAGGCTTTGCATGCAAGTCAGATCTCACCAGACACCACAGGACACACTCTGGGGAGAAGCCCTATGTTTGCAGAGAGTGCAGGCGAGGCTTTGCATGCAAGAGAGATCTCATCACACACCAGAGGACACACTCTGGGGAGAAGCCCTATGTTTGCAGGGAGTGTGGTCGAGGCTTTACATGCAATTCACATCTCATCACACACCAGAGGACACACTCTGGAGAGAAGCCCTATGTTTGCAGGGAATGCAGGCGAGGCTTTACACGGAAGTCATATCTCATCTCACACCAGAGGACACACTCTGGGGAGAAGCCCTATGTTTGCAGGGAGTGCGGGCAAGGCTTTGCACGCAAGAGAAGTCTCATCACACACCAGAGGACACACTCTGGGGAGGAGCCCTATGTTTGCAGGGAGTGCGGGCGAGGCTTTACATGCAAGACACATCTCATCACACACCATAGGACACACTCTGGGGAGAAGCCCTATGTTTGCAGGGAGTGCGGGCGAGGCTTTACATGCGAGAGAAATCTCATCAGACACCAGAGGACACACTCTGGGGAGAAGCCCTATGTTTGCAGGGAGTGCGGGCGAGGCTTTACATGCAAGTCAAATCTCCTCACACACCAGAGGACACACTCTGGGGAGAAGCCCTATGTTTGCAGGGAGTGTGGGCGAGGCTTTGCATGCAAGTCAGATCTCATCAAACACCAGAGGACACACTCTGGGGAGAAGCCCTATGTTTGCAGGGAGTGTGGACGAGGCTTTACATGCAAGTCACATCTCATCAGACACCAGAGGACACACTCTGGGGAGAAGCCCTATGTTTGCAGGGAGTGCGGGCGAGGCTTTACATGCCAGTCACATCTCATCACACACCATAGGACACACTCTGTGGAGAAGCCCTATGTTTGCAGGGAGTGCAGGCGAGGCTTTGCATGCAAGTCAGTTCTCATCACACACCAGAGGACACACTCTGGGGAGAAGCCCTATGTTTGCAGGGAGTGCGGGCGAGGCTTTACATGCCAGTCCAATCTCATCACACACCAGAGGACACACTCTGGGGAGAAACCCTATGTTTGCTTGGAGTGTGGGCGAGGCTTTGCATGGAAGTCAGTTCTCATCACACACCAGAGGACACACTCTGGGGTGAAGCCCTATGTTTGCAGGGAGTGCGGGCGAGGCTTTGCATGCAAGTCAGATCTCACCAGACACCACAGGACACACTCTGGGGAGAAGCCCTATGTTTGCAGGGAGTGTGGGCGAGGCTTTGCATGCAAGTCACATCTCATCACACACCAGAGGACACACTCTGGGGAGAAGCCCTATGTTTGCAGGGAGTGCGGGCGAGGCTTTGCATGCAAGTCACATCTCATCAGACACCAGACGAGACACTGGGGAGAAGCCCTATGTTTGCAGGTGGAGTGAGTGAGTCATGAGATTAAGTCACATATCAATAGCCATAGGAAGTCCACAGCCTATTACTCCCCCAAGATTGTAATTAGTATAGAAGTAACTGGTTAAATAAACCTTCCAGTTTCATTACAAGAGTTGAAATGGACAAACAATTATTCCATAGTGATATGGGGATGTCAGCACCAAACTCGTTCATGGTTTTTTGACCTATTCTAAAATGTTTTGTCTCCATACACATCTCTCGTTTTCCCCATCACTGAAAGCAGAGGATTCCTAAAGAGCCACAAAGAGCTCATACTGTCAGCCACAGAAATTCAACTCTGGCAAGTGTGTAAATGTCTACTTTCATTACTCCCGAAAGAGGGATTTGAGACAGACTCACCCGGGAAGGTAATTCCCCAGACTCCTGGAAAGGGCCTTTTCTCTTAATCAGCTCTGTACTTCTCCCTTGCCTTCTCTGGCTCTTCTGGTTTCCTACAACCTCTGGACTCTCAGAGATGAATGGCAGGGAGAGATGGATGCTTGTGCATGGACATGAGCTGCTCAGTCTGGGCACTTGGTCTTCCTCACTCTCCTTGCTCCCTTTTCAGGGTCAGTATTTCCTAGTGCACAGCATACAGATTCCACATCAGTCCATACTTGGTGTGAGTCTCAGCTCTGTCTCCTCCAGCTGTATGACCTAAGGCAAGATTCTCAACTTCACTCTGCCTGCTTCCTAGTCTGTGCAATGGAAATGGGAACTCCAGCCTTTTGGTTTGACATTCAAAGTTGAGTCAGCACAGACAGAATCTAGCAAGAGGATCGCTGACATTGCAAGCCCTACTGAACAGCCTTCAGTGCCCATGTCTTCCTGGTCTTTAGTGGTGGACAAGGGAAGATTAGGACAAGGGGTTTTTAACTAAATTCAGATTTTGAGTACATCCCACTGCTTTCCCCACACACACTGAACTGCCCTGAGAAGGAAGCCTGAGGTTGGGGAGGTGCCTCCCCCTGATCACCACCCTCTCACTGAGCCTGGGCATCCTCAGAGCCTCCTCAACACAGGCAGGTGGTGCTGAGAGTGAGCTGTGAAACAAGACCCTCACCCACCCCTTGCTGAGAACTGACACTGGGAACAGGACCTGCCTGCACTGGGGTGTTAGGGTAGATGGTGAGCCAAGTCAGGGAGGACGAGGAAGATGGGTGTCACCCACTGATTCAGCAGTCCTGCGCCTCATCCAATTCCATTGTCAGATGTTCCAGCGTCACAAGAAACACCATGCTAACACATTGAAATTCTAGGTATTGTTTCCACTATCTGGGAAAGAAAGGCTTTCAAAGTGTATTCATCCCAAGGCCTAGAAGATGGAAGGGGGTCTACAGCACTCATGGAAAGACCCATAAAACAAATCTGGTTAATTACTTACCTCTGTCCACTGTCTTATGAGAGGGTCCCTAGTGCTTACAGAAAGAGCCAATTGTTAGTTTTGGGTAACTGCCTCAACTTAAACTGTCTCCTGTCATGGATCTATTTTACAACATGACCAAGCGGGGTCAGAAGCAAGATAAGGATTCAGGCTAACAACCCCCACACATACCTACGTTTGGGTAGTCCATCCCCTTGGAAGCTGGCACCACTTTTACCCACCAACTATATAAGTCCTTAGGACAAAGGGCCTGGTGCTCTTACCTTTCACCCCCACCTCAGCAAGACCTGTCCTCTCCCATGAGAATGTGTCACTAATAAACCCTGCTTGTACAGCAATACACTTGATTGCTCCGGCCCGTGGAGCAATCAACTGGGGCTCAACCACCTACCTAGAACAAATGAGTTGGGGGGACAAGAGGCGCGAAGAATGGCAGCAAGACAAAAGATTCTGATCAAGCTGCAAACTTTATTTTTCCGAACTGGGTATATATATAGTGGGGGAGGGAGAAGAAGGAGATTAGGTTGCTTGCTATTGGCTAGCTTGAGACAAAGAAGGGCCCGCTTATTGATTACTTGGGTGCAACTGGTACTCGTGGACACCTCATGTGCCTGTAGCCGATTGGCTTGGGGAGCGCATGCACACCTCATGTACCTGTAGCTGATTCGCTTTGTGGAGTGCACAGGTTCCTGTAATCAATGCAATGTTTTTAGCTAGAAGCCAGGTGTAAGGTTCCCAACATCTCCTCCCCTTTTTATTACTTTGAGGGCGAGGAGAATGTAGGTAGGGTAGACTTTAACCGGCTGGGGGAGGCAGAGGCCTGACTCCTCCTGGGCTCATTCTGAGCTTTAGGGTACCTTTGGGGAGGAGAGGAGTTGGGTACCAACCTCTTTGCAAGTCAACTTACCTCTCAGGAGACTCGAAGTGGCCATATGTACAGGCCTCTCCTTGCAGTGCTTTGCCTTGCACCCAGCGGTGTCTATCACAGCTACTTGGCTGTGAAGCATACCTTCGAGGGTTATGCTGCGCCCGCAGGAGGGGAACTTGGCAGGAATCGTGGGCTAGCACCCCAGCGGCCGTACGGCTCAGAGTCCGCTCCATGTTTCAGCATTTCTAATTGTTGATAGTGCACCTGAATAGGTCTTCCTAGTACACTGTTAAGTTGGTCTTTGACTAAGTTGGTTATACGTCTAAGAATCCAGGGGGCAAAGGAGAGGATGAGGGTGATAGAAACTAAAGGTCCTAAGAGGGGAAGGGGGTAGGGGAGAATTCCGTTAAGTCCACCCCAAAGGGGGTGTTCGGAAAGTTCTTTTCCTTTACAGACGCAGGGTTGTCCAAATAGGGCGAGGCAGGGGTTTTGGGGTGGTCCTTCTCGTCCTCCGTCTGTCTTTAGGTATGGGAGTGTTCCGAGTAGTATAATGATGTTTATTCGGTGCGTTCTGTTTCCTGTAATAGAAAGGAGAGAGAAGTCCCTCAGGGAGTATGGCTTATCCCTGGGTTTGATTAGTATTATGTACTATGTCTATTTTAGGGTGGGTGTTGGGTAGCTGATTGATTTGTTTTAGTAGTCTCTCGGGAAGCCAGCGTGGGCCATCTTCTTTTTGATCATATATGCAAGCTGAACCTCTCCCCCATATTAGAACAGGGTCTGGGCCTTTCCAGGTATTGGTAAGAGGATCACGCCACATAACAGTGGCCTGTTGATCTGAGGTCTGTGGGTGCCAGAGGCGATCAGCTGCAGAGCGGCCTTTAATGTCAAGTGTAAGGAAGTTAAGTTGGAAAAGGGCATGATTAAGGAGGTTTCGAGGCTGTTGTTTGGTAAATCCAAGGGGGGAATGGGCTAGGCGGGTGATAGCATTTTTTAAAGTTTGGTGTGCTCGTTCAATGATGCCTTGCCCTTGAGGGTTGTAAGGAATTCCTGTAATATGTTTAATTTGAAGTTGCTGACAAAAGATTTGAAAGTTTTTTCCTGTATAGCCGGGGCCGTTATCAGTCTTAATGGCGCGGGGTTTGCCTAAAATGGTAAGACAGTGGATTGTATGGGAGATAACGTTCTTTGAAGCCTCGCCAGTTTGGAGGGTGGCTGCTATGAATCCACTAAAAGTGTCAATTGTAACATGGATGTATTTTTGTTTTCCAAAGGCAGAAAAATGGTAACATCCATTTGCCAGATTGCATTAGGGATGAGGCCTCGAGGGTTGACGCCTAAGTGAGGTATAGGAGCTGAGGTTACACACTGGGGACAGGCTTTAACGATGTCTCTAGCCTGGTCTCTAGTAATTTTGTAGAGGAGGCGGAGGGTATGGGCGTTTAAATGGTGCAAGGAGTGGGCTTGAGTAGCCTCTTTTATTGGCTCACGGAGGACGGGCAGGATGGTTCGTGTGGCAGCATCTGCTAAGGCGTTGCCTTCTGTTAGAGGCCCGGGGAGGTCTAAGTGAGCACGGAGATGGCCGATGTAGAAGGGGTGCTGTCTTTGTAGTATGAGTTTTTGTAATTTGGTAAATAAGGGGGTGGCGTTTGTGGAGGGTTTGATGAAGGGGACTGTTTCTAAGAGAGGGACTGACTGTGCTATGTAGGCACTATCAGTGTACAGGTTGAACGGCTGGTTGGCAAGTGAAGTAAAAACTTCTAGGATAGCAAATAGTTCGACAAGTTGGGCAGAGGAATAAGGGGATCTTATAGTAAAAGTCTGTTTATTGATGACATAGGCAGCGGTGCCATTTGAGGACCCATCAGTAAAGACGAGGGTGGCATTGGGAAGTGGAGCTGTTTTACTGAGTTTAGGAAATATAAATTGGTGAGCTTTGGCAAATTGAATGAGGGGATCGCTGGGATAGTGGTTGTCAAGGTTTCCTGTAAAGGAGGATAATGCTATGGCCCATTCATCAGAGGTCTGTAAAAGCCAGTTTGTTTGGTCCTGTGTATAAGGAGTAATTATTGAGTCGGGGTCTTTGCCAAACAGTTGGCGACTGGTGAGCCGTCCTTTTATTATTAGGGTGGCAAGGAGAGAAGGATACGTGAGTAGTACTCGGGAGGGGGAAGCTGGCAAATGGACCCAGAGAAGGGGATGGCCGTTTTTTGTGGTGTCTGAGGTATTGGGTTGCCAAAAGACTCCTGTGGGGGTATGGGTAGTTGAAAGTAATAGAAATATTAGAGGTAGGGCATAGGAAATTTGTCCTGCAGTTTGTTCTTGGATGGCTTTGTTTATTAGGGTTAATGATTGTTTTGCCTCAGGGGTCAGTGTTCAAGGGGATAGGAGATCTGTACTTCCTTTAAGAATATTATTAAGTGGGAGGAGAACTCCTGTGGGTAGTTTTAGGTATGGTCTAAGCCATTGGATATCTCCTAGGAGTTTTTGGAAGTCATTAAGTGTTTTTAGATTATTAGTTCGAAGGCAGACACGGGGGGTGAGTACTTGTTGGTGGGATAGTTCAAAGCCTAAATAAGAGTATGGGTCAGATGTCTGTATTTTATCAGGGGCAATTTGTAGTCCTTGTTGGGTAAGGCAAGAAATGATGTGAGCATAACAGGCTTCAGCAGTATTTTGGTCTGGGCAGGCTAAAAGGATATCGTCCATATAATGAAGGATATAAGCCTAAGGCCATTTTGCTCTAACAGGGGCAATGGCTGCGGCAACAAATTTTTGGCATAGGGTAGGACTATTGGCCATGCCTTGGGGTAACACTTTCCAATGGTAACGGGGCATGGGACTTTGAAAATTGGTTTGAGGGACACTAAAAGCAAAATAGGGTCTGTCTTCTGGGTGTAGTGGGATAGTAAAGAAACAATCTTTAAGATCAATGACAATCTTATAATAATTAATAGGAATGGCTACAGGCTAAGGGAGACCAGGCTGGAGTGCTCCCATAGGTACCATAGCCTTATTGACTGCTCTAAGATCTTGTAAAAGTT